TTAGAATAGTCAGATTCCCCTTTGTTTTAGCCCTTGTCATTTGATAATGTTGAAAAGAGTTGTCAGTGAAGGAAATCTTCTGTTAATGCTCTCATAAGCAAATAAAAGTAACGAAATTCAAGTTGTTTTATAAATCGTCACAGTTTTCACGAAGGGACACAAGCCTAAGTATCGAAAAAAAAAAAAAAACGATTTCAGAAAAAAAAAAATCACGTTTGAAGTGGACTACTTCACAACTCCATAAATTTCACTATTAAGATAACGTTTTGTTTTTTTTTGTTTTTTTTTCTGAGTAAGATGCATTGGTTTAAATATGTCATATATGTACTTCTCCAGACCTCAAGTGCATATGAAATATTTTACAAAATAAAACAATTATTTAACAATAACAAAACTGATGAATTAGGAATAAAGTTCGTTAGTTTGTTGACCACACACTTTCCATGCAAGATTTACCCCAACGTGTACTGTGGATACTGCGTCATTAATGTATATTCCTTTTATAATAATTGCACCATTTGGACCACTGACATTACCACGAAAAAAATCAAGGTTAGTTAACTTTATCGTAACTCGGTGTCAACATCACGCCAGATATAAGCTGGATTATTTAGTAAAATGCGATTGCTGTACTTAGACGGGGAATCCCCCTAATGCGCATGAAATTATAATCCAGGGGCTAGTATTGGGTCTTCGTGGAATCCAACGTAGTTAAACTCCCTTGATAGATAATAATAATCTATATGGCCTTTCCCGTCAAGCAGACGATGAGTTTAGGTTTAGGTCCAAAGATACAGAAAAACAATAATAAACAAATATCAGTTATAAAAGAAAATAATAATAATAATAATAATAATAATAATAATAACAATAACAATAACAATAACAATAACAATAACAATAATAATAATAATAATAATAATAATAATAATAATAATAATAATAATAATCAGGAGTGGTGATTTTATATAAAATGCTGTTGCTCCCATAGTTAAATTACGATCCTTGAATTTGCTTGCTTTGGCAGATGAGGTATTTTCTTGCAACCTTTTTCCTGTATTTAAGCTCAGCTAAAAGAATTGGTAGAATAGGTTTTAATAAATGGATATTGTTTTCACGTGATTTTAGCCATGAGGAATAAATAACAAAAACGACTAATGTAATAAACTAATTTACGATATTATATTTATCATTAATATGATTGATTCCTTTAACAACTACGTTCATATATATATAT